CTGGGAAACCTTGGATTTTGCTCTTCAGGCCTTTCAACTGATGGGCTAAGGCCCACCCACATTTTTGAGGGTAACCTGCTTTACTTAAAGTCAAGTCTTGTAGATGTTAACCACGTCTACAAAACATCTTCGTAGCCACACCTGGATTCGTGCTTGAGTAAATAACTGGGTGCAGTAGCCTAGCCAAGTGGGCACATAAACTCATCTTCCTGCCTTCTCGCTGGTGCTTTGACCTTTGGTCACTCTCTCTGCCTTCTTAGCCTCCGTCACCTCCCACCAGTTTTCCTCTTGGAAATACCAACCTGAGCCTTCCCTTTCAGCCAAAGCATCTTCAGTGCTCCAAATCACCCTCATCCAAAGATCATAAACAAGGCACCCAGAGCCTTTTTGGCTGTGGCTCCAGGCCCTGACTTTGTAGGGGCCTGTGGAACTTGATAACCATCCCTCTCACGGGACCCGCTGCACGCCTCCTAGCAGTTACTTATGTGCCTGGAAGGCACACAAGAGTGTAGACTCAGCTCGTCCAGCGGGGCCTAGCTCTCTGGCGGTCCTTGGTGAACTTGGATTCAGTGAGAATTTGTGGGGCATCTCTTCTGGGAAGAGTACATGGATGGGTATTTTGTAAAAGAGAGATGGGAGAGATAGTGTCTGTCTCCAGGGAGCACTTAGTGTGGGTGACAACTTAAATTTTATAGCCTCTACTCACAGAAACATTGAGGAAAATGTGTGTCCAGTCAGCCACCTGGGTGTGCAGAGCCCTGGGCTGGGCTGCCCCTATGCGGCTGTGTCATGACTGTCATAACTGGCCTGTGATGTACTCATCAGCTGGCTAGATCACCTTGACCTTCACAGAATTGGTTTTTAGATCTTAGTTGTTTTGCTGACTGCCACTTTCTGTCTACATTCCTGTCTTGGAACCTAAGAAGCTTGAATTGAGGTTTTTAATTGAGGGGTTGATTAATTAGTGAGTTGATGTATTTACACCTTGTCTCATTCTACAAAGAATTTGAGACAGCTTTTAGGAGATTTGCATGTGTTAAATAATGCGTGATGAGGCGATTATAAATGGAAGCAGAAGAAAAGGGGACCCAGACATACCACCCTCGCAGAGCTATGTGCTTGTGCCGGATGTGCGTTGGGGCTTCTGGGGTGACCTGAGAGGAATAGTAGACATTCTCACTCTCGAGTAAGAAGCAGAAATCTAGTACCTCGGGGAAGCAGATCTCTTCCAAGCACTTAGCTCCAAAAAGAAGTTTGTCACCCAGAGAAGTCCTTTGACTTTGGGACACTTCCTCCTGTTTGTACCATATGCAAAAAAATATGTTCACTAAAAATATGATAGCATTATTTTTTTTAGTCACGTTAGCTTGTATTGATTTCACTTTTGTGGTTAAAACCAAGAACATTGGAGATGGAGGGTCCTGAACTCAAGTCTCAGCTCTCTCACTGTCTCACTGTGTAACCGTCAGCAAGCGATTTGGCCTGTCGGTGCCTTAGTTCTCTCATCTGTAAAATGGTACCATTCAATGGATTGTTGGACAAATTAACTTTCATCATGTGTGTGACCCTCGGCCTGGGACCCAGCACGTGGTCGAGCTCCGTGAAGTTGACCAGTGTTACTATTCCTGATAGTACTGGTTTAGAGTCTAAAAAGTTCTTCCATGGATTTTGTATTTGCATTAAACCATATATACAGCCCAGTGCCCTTAGAACATTGGATCGTTTTCATCCCTATCATCAAAATGACATATTACATGCACGGAATAGCACAGAATTTTTATCTGAGAAAGCAGAGGAAGAACCATTATTCCTTTATAGTAAGTCCTTTTGTTCAATTATCTTTAAGCCACTCTGTGTGTTTGGAGCTGTGCTTGGCGTTAGGGTACAATGGTGACTAAGATCAAATCATGCTCTCTGATGAGAATGACCTGTGTCAGGGGGTGGAGGGTCAAGGCTTTCTGGCTCCAGTGAACGCAACCCCAAAATCTTGGATAGACATCCAGCCAAGGGCAGGAGGGCTCTGAGAAGATTTTTCAGAGGAGCAATCCTTGGGGTCCCCGAGAACCGGCTCTGTGACAGAGCAGGGGACCAGCATGAGGAGGTGTCACAAGATAATGAAGACAGGTGGTAGCTGTCAAAGAATTAGGAATAATTGATTGTGTCTGGGGCAGGGGATGTGACTGACTCATGGGAGGCAGCGAGGCGGGGGAGACGGGCCTGGGGTTGTGTACCAGGGGGAGCAGTGTGAGAAGTGTCCCGGAGCCCCTGAGAGATGTAAGCAGGACTGTTTACAGTGGACCGATCACTTTACTCGTCTTTCCCCTTTAGAAATTGATGTGTGNTTTTATATTTATTTATATAAATCTTGGATTAAGGAATTCTCTCCCACTAGACTAGAAGTTTGTCAGGGCAGGGAGGCGCCTGGCTTTGCTCACAATGTACCCTGACACGCAGCCCAGGGCCAGGCACCTCGTAGAGATTTGTGGAGTATTTGCTGGATGAATGAATGAATGCTGATGTAGCCATGCCAAAGTGAAACATTTGCATAGATGTGTAACCTGGACACGACTTAACCTAAAGCTTTATTTTAAAAAGTGGGGAAACGGGGACCCAGGAAGACAAAGTCACTTCCTCAAGGTTAGAGCTAGAATGAATGGACTTCAGGCCTTCTGAAAGCCTGGCCGAAAACCACAAACACAGAGCATGGTATGTGGTCAGACTGAGTTACCATGACAGCCTCTTTCATCAAGGTAGCAGCCTACTAACCCACTACAAATACCTACGGCAGGTACCCTTAGAGTTCCCACCTGGAAAGAATGCCCATGACAGCCCATCCAGGGAAGCACAGCATGTGTCATCTGTATCGAGGCCTATTGCTTAGTTTGATGTGACATCAGTGACATTTGCCCCTTTTGAACTAAGGAATGTAGACCTATATTTATTTTCTTGGTTCTGTCAAACAGTGTTTTTCACCAGCATCCAATTCAATATTTTTTTATTTTTGGACCACCTGCTATCTAGGTGCTATCTTAAGTACTTTGGATACAATACAGTGATTTAAAAAAAAAATCGATCATCCCCACCTTTGGAGTTCTCATTTCATGCGAATACGTATAATAAAAATTCCCAACTTAAAAAGGGCTTTCAAAAGGCTTTAGGCCAACTAAGACTAGGGTTGTGTATTCAATTAAAAGAAGATCAGAGCAGAGGCAGTGGGCCTTAAAAGATCAAATGCCATGGTTTAACCTTGTCTCACGTGGGGTTTGTTTCACATGGACTCTCTTCTACAGAAGAAAATGATGACAGTTAAATCATAAGCTAAGGGCAACTGTTTGGATCAATGCCATGGACTGCAGCTAAAGACCAGACACACGTGGTCTCATCACCCAACATGAGGAGAGCACTCTTGTTATTCCTCTTTAATGTAGTAAGGAAGCCGAGTGTCAGAGAGATTACGTGCCTCGCTCAAGGTCACATAGCTAGGAATTGGCAGGCCCAGGAATGGACCTCACACCTCTCTGACTTCGATCTATTTTTCTGTCTTTGACTCCATGTCGCATCCAAGGAACACACTGGGAGAAAGTTGGTGAGGCAGCAATGCTACACCAGGAATCCATGTAAGAAGGAAAATGCGACTGGTTAAAAATTGTAGCGTTCTTATGGAAGCCAGTGATTCCCTAAGCCTATTTGCAAGGCTGACTTGCTCAAAATGGGCAATGGTGGTCTGCCAATTCAGTGACACAGAGCATCAGTGCTCACTGATGACCTTTCAAATATTCTCCCCCCTCTCTCTCTTTCCCTCTCTCCTCTAGGAGGAAGCTATTTTGAGGCGAACCTGGAGAATGAAGGAAGTATTTCAGGAAGTGAGTCAGCATTTTATAGGCAGGCGGAAGGTAAGCTTGCTGAAGAGTTGACAGCTAATGGGAAGTTGGGGGGAATAGAAACACCTTCAGAGAGAGTCAGGGTCTCTCAACTGCATTGTAACCACTGGATCCGGCTGTATATTGCTCTGTGGGAGTCTCCGTGGGTCTCGTCATTGCCGCAGGTATGAATCCATCATCAAAATAGATGAGGATGACCAAGGTGCAGCCTAGAAAAATGCATTCGCTACCCAACCGCCAGATACTTTACCGTCAACTAGTGAGTGCTCTGGAGTTGGACTCTAAAAGCCAATACACGTATGCAATTCATTTAAAATAGTCTTGGAAAGAATGTATCATTTACTGATTAACTTCTACTTTTTTGTACCCATATAATAGTCCCCATAGGGTAGAGGTTAAAACAAACTTCTGGTTTCAAATATAAACCTTCTCCAACACTTCTGCTCTTTCTCCAAAGTACCAGATCTCGAGCCCAGCGTCTCTGAGTCTCCCTGCTCCTAGGGCCCCCTCAGCTCTTCTGCTCACTGTCTTTTCTCTTCTTTGGGTGTCTTCCCATGAAGGTCCTGTCCTCTCTCATCCTTGCTGCCTGAAACTTCCCCATGGGTGGCCACATACCATGACCTGCCTCAGCGCGCCTCTATTTACTGCTGAGCCTGAAAAGCCCAGCCCGGATTTCAGCCCAGAGCTCTAGACTCCAGCTTCCACTACGTGGCCATCAGGACCTGTA